AAACTGTCTGATTCACACTGCTACCTTGCAGTAACCCATGAGGTCTTGACAGATTTTATTAGTATAGGTATCAGATATCTGAAGGGCCAAATGTTAAAATTGCTAAGGGCTAGATTACCTAAACTTCTAGGGAAAGATGACAAAAAAATTTTCCCCTCATTTGTTGTTCATATAATTGAAAGTCATGTTATCTTTTTTTTGTGCTAAATTTCATTTTCAGTTGTAATTTAATTGTATCTTCTTTTTGTGGTTTACGCATACAGAAGCTTTTGTAGCTTTTACAGCAATTAGGAAATATACTTTTTAATTGTTGATAATTTAAAGACAAAGTGATCTGCGATATGTTATGCATGACATAATTATCTGCAATAAAATTTTTGGGACATACCAGTATCTAGACTCAGTAATTAATTCTGACAGGCACTTTTTATCACTGATGGAGAGCTCTACAAGCAACCCAGTTGTATCCAGCTTCTAAAATGATTGAAACATAAAACGGGCAAATGTATAAAAATTGACACAAGAGGCTCCACCCCTTGCACTCTCTGACCCTCCATTTTGGAGTTTTGTGGAGACTCCATCCTCCGCATTTTACACCAAGCCGACCAATCCCTGGAAGTTTAAACTTAACGAGGCCGAGTCTAATTCGAGTGCGCATGACTTTTGCGCAGCCTTTTTATTTCACACAGTCATAAGTGCAACAGTACACCTTTCCAAAATAATATTTAATATAAAATTAACATTATCTGAAACGCCTACTGGTCTGAAAATGTGATTTTACGACAATATTTGGGAAAAACGCTGAAATGGCTCTAACGACGTCACTATTTTCCGATTTTGTAAGCAATGCATGACGCTGATCCAATAGTAAAATTTGACAACTTTTGAGATGATCCCTAAAACAATCGGGGTGGTAAGCATTGGATTTTTAAATCTTAAAACAATACTAGTAAATATAACAAGAAAAATTGATTAACGAAAAATTATCAAAATCCCTAGGGCAGAAATAATTGGACTTGGCCTCGTTAAGGACTTTTCAGATCTGCTTTGTTAACAATATGGTATTATATACCTTTGACTTACTTCGGAACTTCTTATAACGCTTAGTACTAGTATTTCATTACATGTACTACATATTAGCTTGTCAGACTATGGATCCTTAATTTTTTTATCCCACTGAAAGATGAAAAGGAAATAAGAAACACTAAAACGAGAGATGTACGTCAAAGACATTCAAGCCAGATTATCTCATGTAATTCCTCTCGAATTAGATCCTTTGATATAGTTATTTTGAATACACGTGTAATCTTCTATGGTCTTTCTTATGAGAAAAGATTAAGTTATAACTCTTAAATAAACTATAATAAACTTAGAAGTACACCAAACTCTATTGCATATGATATATGACGATAAAACAAAACTTCTCATAAATAAACATCAACAATTGTCCCCTAACAGGACACCACAACTCGTACACGAAAGGCAGGTATTAATCATTTATTATTCAGGGCTATTTTTGTTTCTTTGATCTATTTTGGTCAGGATTAGCTTGTGCAAGTGTCTGTTAAGGTGACGACCCCTGCTTGCCATATTTCATAAGAGATTCTGGTTTATTTACGACAGGAACTTCGGTATTGTTACCGAAAAACGTCAACTCCAATTGTTGGAAATCTGGGACAAAAGTCAGCCTCTGCGAACTATATACATGTAAACTAGAATGTTGTATTAATCAAGAATAATTTTTTTTATCATATTTATTCGGCAGAGAAATGTAAGAAAAAATTGGTTAAAAAATTCTGATTTGAAATTATGAAGTTTCTCTCCAAAATGATATGTTTTTCATAAAGGATAATATATTCTTATTTATGAAAATCATTTTATTTCAAAATCAAACAAGTTTAAGCAATAATTTGGTTTATAATTCTCCAATGGTTTAAGTATTATCCGATTGTCAAATGATTGAATATATTAATTACCAAACCTTTATCATTCCTGACTGGCCTATGTATCAGACATGTTTTTCGTAACATTTCTAGCCTTGAAAAGTAGGATTTAAAAAATAAAATTTCTGAAAAGGTGTCTCATGTGTCTGTTATAAAAAAATCAAAGAAGTTCAGAAATATTTCAGAGATAAATAATGATTTGCAAAAAATGTTGACAGGTAAAATTAATAAACACAATAATTGCACTTAATTAAAGGAGGAAAAAATAAATGGCATGTTTTTTTTAAGTAGACCATAGGTTGCCAAGTCAAGGACACATTGAATTACTTAAGGCGGCTTCCCAGAATAGCTCTAAATCGACCCGTGTCGGTAAATAGAGCGACTGAGAACCAAGGCTCACAAGGATTAAGAGATTAACTTCATTAGATTCCCTACAAAATAATAATGGTAGATTATCCTCAGTTTTTATCAAAACAATACAGAGTATCGATTGCTGGGGGTATTAGTACAGCCATTGGGGAAACGTGAGCCACATTACTACGCTTATTGACAGATTG